ATGGTAGGAATCTTCCTTAGTGAGTTTAATTAGGTAGACAGAGTGATAAATTTGTATAAAATAAATTTGTACATACTTATTACATAATATCTAATAAACAAAGTGTAAGCCACCCATTATAAAAAAAAAAAAATAATAATTTATATATTATATACAGTATATACAAATAAAGTAATTAGTATTTATTGCCTATTTTATTATAACAAAAATTAATTAATTATATGATTTTATTATAATTATATTGTAAATTGGATTATAAGTTTCTTAACAATTTTTCTCATACTATTTTTATTATAGTCAAATATTTAATTAAATTAAATTTATAATTCTTTATAAAAATCAAATATTTAATACAAGTTATATTATTTTTTGATTATATTATATTACAATATAAATATTTTTGGTTTTTTTATATATGATTATATTTTATAAATATTTAATCTTATATTACTATTGATTAGTTTGTTTATTAATATTTTAATAATATAGTGATTTAATTTCTATATAATATAAGTTTTTTTTATTGTCTATATTTTATGTCTTATTATTTTATAATTAAAAAATAGTTATAATTAAATTTAAAGATATGTTTTTTTATATTACTCATAAATTTTACAAAAAAAAATATTTTTTAGATTTTACAATTATATATAGTATTTTATTATTTATTTGTAAAGTCAAAAAATTACTTCATATTTGACATATACATTATCAAATCTTATATATAAAATAATTATTATCAAAAAAAACTTATATTTAAATATTGTTTTATTGACATATGCACAGTACCACAACGTCATTATTTGAGATTATATGCAGTATTAAAATGCTTTTATTTTGTAATGTATTTTATAATTATAAAGTTTAAATGTATAATCAGAATACAGATAATACATTCGAACAAAAACACAAGGAATAAATGCTGTGAAATTAATATGTCGTAAAAATCTGTCTGGTGATTCACTTCAGGCCACATTATCATATAAGTAGTCATGCAACCTAACACTAAGTCTTAGATACAAATAATATTTTTACTATGACACAATATTCAAATATAGATCTTCAGACCGCTCGTGGAAATTTTTCTGTATTACAGTAAATATGTCACTTTTATAATAGCAACCATGATAAACTAAATTTTAAAGAAATATAGTATGAATTCTTAGATTGACACATCTTATGTGCAATGTCTTACACAACAGTAATACTTTTTATAATTTATCATTATGAAATACAGTATGTACTCTTTTTCCGCTGGAATTAATAGATGATAATATCCTCAGAGACTGACCTTATAATTATCACTTATTTATCCATGAATAGTAAACAATTGGATAAAACAATTTATATAATTAGATCTATACCACCATAAATTAATCAAACTTCCATGGCTAAGGACTTGTTGTTCAAGAATTTGTTTCAGTGAAGGAGATAACTTCATCAATTCTGCAACAAATTTAGTACACAGGCCTTGTGTAGAATATACAGACTGCAATCCAGAGAGAGTTATCAAGATTGCAGATCCCACAATACCATCTGCCCAGATAGCATAACCACGTAAAGTAAGTATTCCAACGAGTAGTACTGTATAAACAGCTGAATAAACAATTATGAGAAACCATCCAACTGCAGGTTCAAAGGGAACACAATCAGAATAAGTAGCAGAGCTCCAATCGGTTATGGTGATTCCACACGTTAGATAATCATAAGAGAAATTAACATTTTCCATAAAATTAGCCAAACACATAACATCACTCATAGCCTCAAACGGATGCCACCATAACCACACTCGAATCAAACCAACTGTCATCGATATAATATTAACAATTAATGCTATAACTCTTAAAATTTCTTCAATTCGGTGGTATCTTTCTAGTCTTTTTCCAATTCGGTCGCATGTTTTAGAGAATAGACTAAATGGCCTTTTTATTACTGATAATAGTCCTCCTATATTTTGATCATTTCTCTGCTCTTTATTCCTTGTGTTTTTGTTCGAATGTATTATCTGTATTCTGATTATACATTTAAACTTTATAATTATAAAATACA